TATATTTACAATATATTATATTTAATATTATATTTACAATATATTATACTGTATAATTTATTTAATATATTTAGGTTTATTTAATTGTGGGGATTTTGTTCAGTATTCAACTTCAAATTCTATTGAAGTTGGTCGAATTAGATCTTTTGTTATTGATGATAAAAAAATTGTATCCCAAATTTAAAGATTATTCTCATATGAACAAATTCTACAATATCTACGTTTAAAACAAAACTTATCATACTCACCAAAGGAAAGATATTTAGTAGAGAAATTGGAATCTTTTATTATTGACCTATCATCATTAATATGTTATATTAATATTTGGCTTAAAGACCAACCTGAACTATCTGTTATTAACTTTTTTGTAAATAAAATTTTATACAAATATAATAGCAGGTGGAAGTTTCGTCCAATAAAGTTACATTATAAACACCCATCAGAAACCACACAACCATCTAATTCACCAGAAAATATACCAATTTTCAAGTTCTATCTAGATTTATATTACGATAATTTTGGTATGTTTTGTAATACCTATCATTCTTTGAGTGATATATACTTACAAATTGGCAATATGCCAAGACAATTAAGAAAACAATTGCGTAATCACTTTATAGTTGAATTGGTGCCCTTTGGAAGTGAATTTAAAGACTTTATTAAAGATTTTATTAAAGAGGTCCAGCAACTTAAACAAGGTTTTATTATGAACATAAATGGTATAGATTGTTGGGTTTCAGGTAGGTTGGCAATGGTTACAGCTGATCTGCTTCAGAGAAATGATATTTCAGAAGTATTGCATCACAATGCTAATTTTGGATGCCGAAGTTATAAAGCCTCTAAAAATGGCTTAACAAATATTACATATAATATATATTATAATAGCAGGTACCATGATATAACCAACCAAGAATATAAAATAATAAACAAATAATCCACTAATTTAGCTCAAGCCTGTTCATAATATGAGTTATGATTATTATCAGGTTCACTAGATTTAATTATTTATAATCACCATCAACATATACCACAAGATGTATACCATGCCATTGCAGGTAAGATTGTGTGACTTCTAGACTGTACCTGTTCAATATTAACATTATAAGGTGAAAATAATTTACTGAAATACTGGAAACATTTTGAAGTTCCTGAAAGATGGGCATGTTTGCCAAATTTAATAACTCATAGATATTCATTTATGATATCTGATATTTTATGCCTTTTAATGATACTTCTATTTATTTTAAAACAATTTTTAATAATTAGCGACATTAAGCATAATTATTTAGATAAAACAAAAACTCGATTAAAACTTCATCAAAATGATATTATAAATTCTTTAATTCGAACTTGGGGATTATGTGCAAAAGTTAGTAAAAATGTTTTTTTATTATCTATTGATAGATCAGATGGATATTCTCAATTTCAAAAAATATTAGATAAAGAATTTAATGCATTAGTTGAGGTAATTTTATTTTATTTACTTATTTATTTATAATTATATGTTATTATTTTTGATTTTTAATAATAATATTATTAACGATATACTATATATTCAAGTTATTTCCAGATAGTTTTCAAAATCTTCTAAACCTTCATATAAGTCGACATATAGTAGATAATGCACGCCAATATGTTACATACACTAATACAGCAGTTGGTACAAAAGAAATGGTGCATAGAATTTTCAAGTTAATTGTACCACATACAAACAAAAAAAATCTTGAACTTAACTTGTTGAAACAAGTTAATACTTTACAAACATTAAGATACTTAGCTGATAGAGGAATAGATGACCGTATAGAAAATACAACACCAAAATCAATATTTAGAGATCTAATTATTGAACCATGACTATGCTACTTACTTTCAGGTTGGTGTATTGATAATCATAACTTGTCAATATATATATTACAAGAACTTGATCAAGGTAATTATTTTTATTTAGTATTAAATTATATTATATTTAAATTTAATAAAAATTTCAAAATACTTTTTATTATATTAATTTTAATATATATACTAATTAAAATTTATTAGATAATCTTACTGATATTAGTAACTTCTCATATTTCAATTGTTCTGAAATCAAACTTGGATCAAAATGGAATAAATATAAAATTGAAAGTGCTGGATTTATTTCCGATAATCTTGAAACTAACAGACTTTTAGAAAGCTTTATACGAGTATACTTTTTATATTTTTCTATAGAACAAGCATTATTAAAAACAAATATTAGATTCTTTCAAAATATTTCATATTCAATAGTTGAGTCTAATGGCAACTATCAATATA